GTTTGGAGATGCATGGAATGGAGGAGTGTTCGAAGATGACGCTAGAGAAAGAAGCACAAGTATTCTACGCCAGATACTCTCCATTCCAGTCCTTAGCCTACTGGTTAGCTTATAGGATTTTGTATTTTCTAAGCATAGTTCTGATAATGTCGTCCATTATTTTATATGGCTTCTTCTTGCACTATATATATAGGTTTGATTTGATCCAAAACTACGAAGCAAAACATGGGAAGCTTAGTGAGCTGAGTCCGCGTGACTACAACAGGGTTGGCGGATGCAGTTACATGAATCAGCTGAAGGCAGACTAAATGAATATCTCTCTTTCTCCCAAAACACTACGTATGCTCGGTTTTTTTATTCCTTTCATGGTTTTTTTTTGTTTTTAATTTAACTATGGCTTTTTGTGTGTGTGTGTTTTTTTCTTTTTTTTTAATCAAACTTTGCCTTTATTGTGTTTTTAATTTAACTATGGCTTTATTTGGTTTGAAATTTAAAGTTTTGCGACATTTCGCTTTCATGATGTGAGAATTAAAGATGGGACGAAATTGTTTTCGCGAATGAAAATAACAAATAACATATTACAATACAATTTCTTCCCTGTTTCTCTTATTCATGACAGTTTAGATGATATAAACTTTCTAATCAATCATATTAAGCTTTTCTTTTCTTGTCCACCAACCATATTTCCCAAATCGAAGTTCATGTATATTTTCACCATTTTTCCAATTAATAACTAATGATCAATCATCATACATTGGATAAAAGAGAATAATAATATTACTTTTAAATTAACATCCTATATCTTCGTACATTGGTGCTTTTAATCTCTTTTTCGAAAGTGTTTGGTCTTTTTATTGTTCCTACTCCAAGATGGAGGATGGCCAGAGACGGTTCCACATTGCAATCTCTTGTTTACAATTTAGCTTTCGGATTCCTCCATAGAACCCGTATTCCTCGTTACCTTCTTCTCTATGATCTCTCCTATTGATCATTGTTCGTCTCCACCTAGATCCTACTGTGTACTGGTTGAATTCCAACACTACCATCTCTGTTTTCACCATTCATCAACACTTAACCAGTTAGTACCACATCCGAGCGCAGAAACCCTTTTGATACATACGACACCGATAGAAAAAGGTTTATGCATGCTATATGATCAATTAAGGAGTTAGATATAATTGAGATGCAACTAGGCAGAGACAAATTCCAAAATCTTATCTTTTTCTAATTGATTTCTACATGATGTGGTGATGCAATGTGCCAACAAAAGCAGAAAAACAATATTTTTGGAGCGATAAAGACACAATGAATCATTTTTGAGCCCCACCACCATTTGGTAATAAGTAGAGGTTTTAACATCAATTGAAGACACACATTTATCAAAATGTCTCTGAAAATCAAGACACATCCAACATATCATCATGATTTGTCTTTTTGGGACCAATCCTTGCAAGAAAAAAGGTATTACTTGAATTGGTTCTCTTCAACGTTCACCCTTTTCAACTAAGCTTAGGAAATCTTATGGACTCTATGAACTGAGTAAAAGCATGGAATGTGACATCCAATATCAATAGAATCAACCAGGACTCCATTTTAAACCATGTAACATAAAGCAGAGAAGAGCTCACCGCTAAGATTGCAATGGCAATGGTTGAGATTCCCATCACAGGATTCCAAGTGGCCAACAACACCATACCACCATCCTACATAACAACAGCACAAAAGCTTGTTTTAGAATCAGAATTCACTATCCAGACCAAGTTTATAACAGGCTTCATAGATTATAATTCACCATATGGGAACTCTTTGTTCCTTCTCCACTGAATCTCGATGTGATCACCAGGTTTCAACTCATTAAGAGTATCTGATATATGGAGATGATGAGGCGATGCATCAATGGGAGCTGCTCTTAGCCTCTCCCATGTCACATTTTTTTCAACCGCAATTGCTCTTCTACCATGTGGTGGATACCTAAAATCCCATAATAGAATCTTGTTTATATTACTTATGATGAAAAAACTAAGCAAAAGATTGTTTAGAATGTGGACATGAGATGTTTACTACCTTGCTTGAAAAGTATCAGTGTAAGTGTCATAGCTGAGCTCTGCATCATAGCATGACAACATGAATCCTACATGTCCATTCTGCTCTTACACCAAAAAGCCCTCACTTATTAATTGAAACAAGAAAGTAGTTCAATGGAGCAAACTACGTTTATGAATTGATTACCTCACGGTTGTAAACTTGAGCTGGGAACCAAAAATGACCCGTTTCAAGGGAGAGGTAGCAGCTCATGGTTGAATCAAGTGGCAGAGAAGATTCAGACTTCCTCCTCTGTTTATTGGCATCTTGGAAAACAGAGGAAAAAGATCGAATGAGAGAGAAGATTTTGGCAAATCTAAGAGGATTTCTATGATGATTTGTGGAAGATATATAGCTTTGCCACTCTCTACGAGCAGCAGGGCCAAGGATTTTGCCCCATTTGGTATGTAAGTGTTTCTCCCAGAGATGATCACTAACACATTTCTCCNTTAAGGAGCTACAAGTCCTAGCCATGCTGCAGAGTCCAGAGGGTGGCAGAAGATCAAGGATGTTGTCGAGAGCAAGATCAGGGAGGTCAAGGATAGACATTTGGTCGACCACCGAGGAGGCTGGATCATGTGTGGTTTGGTGTATGAAAGGATTCTTGGAGAAGTAGAAGGAGAGCAAGGTTTTGGTTTCAGATGCCCATGGAGGAAGAGATAAAGATTTGGCAAAGAAGAAGAAAGAGAGACAAGTGATGAGAAAGTAAAGAAGCATTTAGACAATATTATTGTGTTGCCTTTTGATTTGTTGTTTCTGAGAAAGAGTATAAATGGAAGAAGATGGAAGATTGATGGCCAATTGGAATGGGAGTAGCCAACTCATGAGAATAATAAACAATTCTTTATGTTTCTTCCTCTCTCTTGTTTTTGGAACTTAAAGTTGCCAAGTTGAAAATCAAAACACAGAGAGAATTGGGACCTACAAAACCAAAGATCACATGAAAGAAAATCCCATAATAAAATCCAAAATTACAAAAATATAATTGGAATGAAGGGTTTATTATATTAATAGAGAAAGGAAATACGTATTAAAAAAATATCTACTTGGTGTTGGTGGCATCGGGATTTCCAAGGACAGTGGGAGGAGAGAGAGGATCAGATCTGGGCGGCAGAAGAAAAAAGATTCATTGAACCTAAAAACACATCAACAAAATTTAAAAGTAAAAAAAAAACTATACTAGTATTAATTATATAAGATTTATAAACAAATAAACAACAAATGAGGAAAAAGAAGAGGAGAAAGAGAATTGGGGATTCCCTAATCACCTCCACCTCCTTCAACAACAGAATTCTTTCTTCCTCCTCCCAAAGTCCCAATACCAAAACAACAACAAAAATGCAAACCAAACAACTACTAAACCTCCTTTCTTATAAATTCTTTTTATTGTAATATCTATTTTCTAATCTCTTACGTAAAATAGCAAAGACTGGGATTAGGATAAGATGAGAGGATACATCTAATTTACCATTTTTGTCAACAATACCGAAGAGAGAATTCCACTTTTATTTCATGTGTACCACAAAATCCTTTTTCAATACTTCTCCCTTGCACATTTTTCTTTCTCCTTTAAAATTTATATGGAGGAGCTGCACCTCCACTACATTATTATTCTACCGCCAAAAACATCTTATAGAACATAGATAAGAATGATGAAATAAAAAATCGCTTGTTCCTGAAAATAGGAGATGATAGCAAAAGAGAGTCATAATGGATGTCAAAC